GAAGATATAGATTTCGCTGATGATGACTTATGTATAATGTCTTGTCGCACAAGCCTGAAGATCTACATGTGAAAACCAACAAGTTGACAGAAGAGGCAGCGAAAACGGGACTTCAAGTGAATGTAGAGAAGACAGAGGTGATGAAGATACTCAACCAACAACAGCATCAACAACAAGCACCAATCACCGCTAACGGGAGAAATCTAAAGGAAGTTGTCTCTTTCACCTACCTATCTACCTAGGCAGCATCGTCTCAACTACAGGCGGCCACAGCACAGATGAGGATGTCAAAGCCAGGATCGGAAAAGCAAGACTAGCCTTCATTAATCTGAAATCAGTGTGGAGATCTACTGCACTCGGCATAAAGTGTGATCAAGATCCGGATTGTCAACACCAACGTCAAGTCAGTGCTTCTATATGGTTCAGAAACTTGGCATACCACGAAAAGCATTTCATCAACAGCTGCCGCCTACGCTTACTCGGTACTGAAGATCAGATGACCAGAAAGAATAAGCAACAAGGAACTCTGGTTAGCAAAAAACCAAGCAACAACATATCACCCAACAAATATGCAGAAGAAAGTGGAGATGGATTGAGCATACAGCGAGAAGACCATTCGGGGACATCACGCGCCAGACCAGACCGTCGAGTAGAGTCTAAAGAGGAAACAACGAGTTGGGCGTCCCTGCTGAGGGTGACATAGAGGAGATCGTGTGAGGAAGAAATGAAAGCTTGTGGGCAGTCGTGGAGCCAGGTTGAAAAGACTGCAGAGAACAGAGTGAAATGGCGACGTGCTACTGAGGCCCTATGTTCCACTAGGAACCCAAGGGATAAATAATGATAATACATATATCACACAGAAAGTGCGGAAATTTTGAGTACAGAACCCAATATCCCATGGCAAGCACAATAACAACCGGGGATAACTTTTAACCTCACCCCACACGTACTTGTCATAGGTATTTATATCAAAATTCATGAAGATAAGGTGTGAGAAAATAAAAAGATCAAGCAGGAAGGCTGAATTAAAGGCTGAATAACATTGAAAATCAATAGAGCGGAAATAATAGTACATCTAACTTGGTTTTCACAACTGAATTTACAAAGGAAGATTTAATGTGATAACAAATTGTTTATGAACACACAAAGGTGGTTTGAACTTTCTAATGGCTAAAGCCTCAACAAATTCAAGGATCCCTCCCCAACACCTTTTGTAAATAGGTGTAAAGTAAGTAGCCACATCAATCATGTGATCTGTCTCAATCATATGTTTGTTGATCGGAGAACTTGGACATCTGCTACCAACATTTATGGGTTAATGTGTTTTAATTTGCTTCTGAGGCCACTTTGGAATATGTTCCGAGCCATTACTTGCATGGATCTATTAGTCCCCCCTATGTATGTGTCACCACACGTACATTTGTATTGGTAGATACAATGGGATGTGATATTATCTTTCGCATAGTGTAGGGGTTTGGGGTAGCATATAGGCTTCATGGTTTCTGTTAATCGAACCCTAGCTGCATAGTAAGTCCTTTTAACAGCAGCGTTAAGTCTCTGCTTAAGGATTGCACTATGAGAGTCACTTTTGTATGGGAGACTCATGAAGACATCCTTCTTTAAGACAAACTGAAGATCTAGTTTTGGCGCTCTGATAATTTTGTTCTGCCTGATAAATGTTGATGAGTAGTTATTTTCCAACAATATATCAGTCGGTGTTCCTCTTTCATCTTCTAAAGTATCCTCTGTGCATATTCGTTGGATTCTGCTGAATAAGCACCTAACTAACGCTCGCTGGTACTGGACTGGACAAAAGCTATGATAGTTCAGATATCCCCCTGTCCATGTAGGTTTTCTGTAGATAGGTCGTTTTATGGAGCCATCCTGCCTCCGACAAATTAATATATCCAAGAATGGTGAGCAGTCATTTTTTTTCTTCTATGCATGTCAAGGATATGCTGTTCTATATTTTGTTCAATCGGTTTAGAATTGAAGTAGAATGATTTGAATTTTCACAAATGATCTGAATATCGTCAAAATATCTTTGATATAGATGGGCTTGGTCTAATAAGTTCTCGGCTAATTTCTCCACATGTGACATAAATATGTCAGCTAGGAGGTGACCTAAAGGACTTTCCACAGCAACACCATCAAACTGGTAGAAATGTTCTCCCTCAAAGGTGAATTTAATATTGCTTGTAGGTAAAAGTAACAGCTCTTTTAAGTGATCCAAAGAAGTGGGTATCGAAAAATTACGCACAGAAATATAATCACATCAATGTTTTGACCAAAGGAGCGTTGGTGAATAGTGAATTAACTTCGAATGAACACATAAGTTTACTTTTTATGTTGACATCCTCAAGGCATTTGATTACTTCAAATGTATCTTTTAAGGAATATTTATAGAATTGCTTCTTAATGGGATCCAATAATTCCACTAGTCAGTGGGCAAGCTTATGCGTTGACGTCTTACGCATTGACATTAAGGGACGTAAGGGGTTGTTAGGTTTGTGTCCTTTTGGCAAACCGTAAAGATGTGGGAATTGGGATTAAGTTGGTTTCAGTAAGTCTGGTAATAACGTTCATTTCGAGCGGTTTCACTAGATTAGCAGTCACAGTTCCCTGTAATAATTGTACGTCTTCTGAAGAACAATCTTTAGTGAGTTTATTTTCATCTTCAAGAATCGGGGACATTTTACACTTATATTCGATTTTATCCATGATCACGACACCTGAGCCTTTGTCAGGTCTGAGGATAATAATATCGGGGTTCTCTAGTAGTCCCATCATAACTGAAATGTTCATAAGTTAGGATGCTTTTATGATTCTGATGGCTATCATAAAACTGATGGGCGATATCCACCATCAGCCATCCCTGATCATCAAGTGAAGTTGGGACAAGATGTTTCAACTGGTCATATGGGTTTTCGAACTCTTTTCTTACTACCTGGCTTTTTATACATACAATTTTGTACTACTTGTTGTTAGTAAGTAGTGTGAATATTTTTCTTTAGGATGTTACTGTACATTTGGGCTATAATCTTATTTTGTTCATCATATTTATATTCTGGGATATTGGTTGGCATCTTTCAGACTTCAGGGTTATTTCATTTTCCCACTATCCTGATGTTACATCTTCAAGTGGAAACCCGCTTATCATTTGCTTTTTATCTTTTTGGTGCATTTCCAAAAAGTGCTTTTGACGTCGACATGCCATAAGATGACTCACGATTCAAAGGGTTGCTGTTCACCAGCCATTGTTGCTTAATAATAATAATAATAATAATAATAATAATAATAATAATAATAATAATAATAATAATAATAATAATAATAATAATAATAATAATAACAATAATAATGGTAATAATAATAATAATACGAACAATACTGCACTCCAGATAAATCTCATCTTTTGCATAATACATGCAGCTAGGATGTTTGACTTAACGGTCGAAGAATCACTTAGTCGCTTCAGTTTTGGATGTTTTGAGAAGTTGATACTGAGTCATCGAAGGATTGGAATCAGCAGTCTCCGAGTATCCCAGCCGTTGATCATATCTTTATTTCACTTCGGCTGACATACGAGAATTATTCGTCAGTATTTGCTATTATTTGAGGTAAAAGTTAACTTTCAATATCCAATCGTGATGCTGAGTTGAGTAGTCCAAGTGGGAAGAAATCGTCAATCGCATTCATTGCTTTTTCAACACAATTTTCAGTAGGTATGACTCACCTAAAATGGTTTCTATCAATTTTAATAGCTCTGAATTGAAATGATATGCACCAAGTGAAAAACAGTCTTTGAGTTTCTTTCCAAGAAATTCGAAACCAAAGTGACGAAGTCTTTCTTCAACAAATAAATCATACGCGAGAATTCCAAAACATCAGACTTTTTTCAGTTACCTTCCTGTTTGCATTAATAAACAACAATAGCTAATAAACATCATATCTGGAGCCATGAGGTGTCTGTAGGCTTATCACTCAATAACAGAAGCAGAAAAGCAGTGTCCGAAGCAAACTAGTGGAAAGTAGGAAATAAGCCCAGATGTCCAGGGATGTGTAAAAGGTTTGATGTAAATCAATATTCAAAGGAAAACATGGCACCAGGGAAACAACGGAAGAATTCACTAAATAATCATCAATTAGGAAAGATAGTAATATTGTAGAACGCTAAATGACGATTAGAATATGAATCTAACCGCCAATACGGTAACATTCTGTGAGGAAACAAATCACTATTAGGAAGCAGCACAAGTCTATATGGATGAAAGTGTAGGTGAGTAAAGTCGACATTGGAAATCGGAAGGCAGTAAGCAAACAATTAACACAATCTTTTGTATAATCTTGCGACCAGTCATCAAAAAATGCCTGGTCAACAATGATGCTTCATTTCGATTCACGTTACATGCTATTCGACACCCACTGAGGAACATGTTCTCTCCGACGGCTACTTCTGTCTATATAAGTGTCCCGAGAACTACAGCTGATCTTAAATTAACAAAATAAGATACAATTGACCGAATTTAGCCCTTCAAATGCTGACAAGTGACGGGGGGAATTTTCTTAATTTAAATTCAGCAAAAACTAGTCAGTGGCTTCGAGAATGACTTATTGATGACGTATTGGGAGATTGATGATTTCTACAGTTAACCGTTTCAAGGATCAGTCAGGATGGACGCTAGCACTTACGAAGTCGTAGAGTGCTATTCTTATTGTCTAGTGAATTAATAAAATTCTCACATGGTGGGTGATGGTGATCTAAGCAACTCGGTGAATTTCAATCAAGCTTGCTTCGAAGTCATATAGAAGCTTGATTGCATACTGACAAGCTGCCGTAATGAACAGTCATCTCCCTACTCGATGGTTTCAACTGGTTCTCCAGGAAACATGGGTAGTAAAAACTGTCATCGAATGAATCAACTTACTCACCTAACGTGTAAATATTTCTTTCTTCATCTTTGCTTTGTTTTCAAAATGTTGTTTCCTGTAAAAATTAGATTCTCAGAGCATCTACTTATCAAAGAGACGCTTGTTCTAGTATGTTATTGGAATCAGGTAATAATGAACGCCTGAGGTATATTCGACTGCATATTGGTCCAGACAGATCAGCAACTGGATTTATGAGACAAGTGATGCTCAGACAGTTTGTCCAGGAGAGTACTCAACTTTATCTGTGCAGTGAATACAAAGCAGCTGGTGTACACACAGTTGCTATATTCGCTAATCAACTGTCAGTGGTAAGTTAACCAATATTTAGTTTTGATGCAATTGCTAGCTGTGGAGAGTAGGATGAGCGTTTCGTTCAATTTAGACTTTCCAAGTGAATGTATCTGCTTCGCAGTTAGTGATGCTGTTCCTTCCTAGGAGTCGAACGCATCACTTGTGGCTCCAAAGAATTTAGGGTTATCCACTACGCCACTGATTCACGACAGCGACAACAACGTGTCGCCTGAATTCCACTGATAGACACTATCCATCATTACTGTCAAACTGAAGTAACTGACAATATCGAGGCATCCACATGGGAACCCATATGTCAATGAGGGTGAATGAATTCGCTCCAACATATGACGGGAGAAATTTCAAGCAATGGTGTAAAACTATGCACCTTGCAGTAGAAATGGCCACCGTGAGTCAATAGACCATTTGATAAGCCCAGTTAGTCGTCTTAGGGTCAGGTCTTAGTTCAAAGAACTTCACATATCGGAAGGCAGCCACATCCAGTTGACGAGTCCCAAATAGGCAGAAATGTGTCTTCTAGGCTCCACTACAAGCTAATATACATCATTATTCATATTGGGTGGATTCTGTTAAAAGGTGTTTATAACTGTCATTTACTATTTTCTCATCTGAATTGTATATGTCTGTGTGCATCTGTTTTCAGCATCCTGAACTCAGTTATCAAATGAAATATAAGCTTCTATGGCTAAAACACATAAAGACAGACAGCAAAATGGGGTTAGATAGACTGTGAGTAGAATCTAGGATGTGCATTTCGTCTTACTCATAACTCATCAGTTTGGTGTATCAGTCTCTTCATAGAGAATGAAACTCAGCAGCCAATGAATCAAACAGCCGAGGATTATTTACTAAGTTACAAATCCACATATTCACCCAGTGTGCTGGAGGGTATACTTACATGTCAGAGTCAGGGTCGAGCTAGTACAGCAATGAATCAAGGCTACATGTAGGGATTCTCGATCTTGTTGCATTACGTCTCAGTATTATTTGCAGACGAGGCGATGAAAAGAAAAGGGTCAAAATCTAAACATTCCATCTAGTATTAAATTATCAATCAACCGTCTCTTCTAGTAGGAGTCCATTACTAGGATATTATTCGGTCAGTAGAAGTGTTCTCTTTCGTATCTGGAACTTTATCAATGGAGGTCCACATTGAGGTCAATCTTTCAGATGTAAACTCCGTTTTTGTCAACAGAAAATGATGGGTCACTTATATGCCCATTTTCTCATTTTGAAAAGGTAGGGAAAATCAGATGAAAATCTACAAAACTTCAGTCAAGTAATGATAGTTTATCAGATATTTGATAGGAAGTCACTCTTGCTTGGTTGGCGCTAGTAAGTCGGAAGTCCCGCGCCAACCAGCTTTTATTCTTACTAGCTTTCACCATCTAGACGCATTTGCACACCTGAGAGAACTAATACCCTCTATCAGATGCGCGTCCTATTCATCCATCCGTCCATCATTTTGTAGCGTGACCACCAAACTACGATAATCGCCACGGCGGTGCAGTTTGACGGGCATTAGATTAATGGTGACAATTGGCAAGAATCTTTCTTGCAACACTGACATGACTGATATCACTCTTTTCGAGAAGCTAAAACCCACGTCACCCAGTGGTGCAGTCAGAGATGCTACCATTGATCTATTGTGATTGACACTGACTTCCTACAGGACTGGGTTAAACAAACGCGTGTACATCGTTAGAACACCTACTCAAAGACACAATTCCCATATGGTATGAATAAGTGCTCATGAAATCACATCACATGTGGAGGGTCAAATTTAAACTGTACCCCATTCACAGTTTCTGGCACAGAAAAGCAGATAAAATTCACGTTTATGATGACTGCTCAACCTTTCAAGCCAAATCAACTTCACATACAACAAGCATGCTTTCATTATTGTGTATAAAATTCCTCTTTGAATAAATGCGTTTCCATTTCCAAAATATGTACTCTGATTTATACTCAACAGGAACATTTCATCAACTCAGGATTTCAAGTGGTTGAATGCGGTTCAAAGTTGTACGATATCTGTGGAAATAGTTGGTTTAAGAATCGATGTTTAATGGAGAGAAAAAATCAAAGCCGAAGACTGTCGATGACGGGGATATTCGTGATGGTGATGATAATGATGTGGATAATGAAATGATTATGATTATTGCAAAAGCTGAAATATATTCATTTCCCAAATCTCGTCAATATTATAAAATTAATAAGTTAATTCATCTGATCTGGCTGACTGATGTGAAGAAATATTAATACTTTCAATAAACCGAATTAATTTGTTTTGATTTTTGTACCTAACATTATACTAAGATTTGACTGCTTATAAAGAAAGATGTTAAGGTTATGGGTCAGTTGGTAAAGTCATTCATTCGACCTTCATCTACTAGGTCAAGGGTTCGAACCCAGCTCAACCTACCAAGGTGTAAGCAGTCGGGTAGTAGTATCATTCACTTGTACGCAATAGATGTGACTCACTGACTACAGCAGAAATGAGCATGTGGTTGCTGACCACGTTTCCATTCGAGTGAGTTTTGTTGGTGAAATAAATTGCCCACTGAACGATTTAGACAAAGCGAGTAGAAGGATTCCACTAGGGTAGGGAATCTGCCTATAATTTAGTGTAAGTAGGTGTTTTCGTAGACATCTTCAATTTCTTTGAGATATAATCTGACTTAAGTATGAAGTCGATTTCATGTAAGATGATGAATTTGTAAATTATTTTCATATTGCACTGTCCGCATTCACATTTCTCATAGTGGGGTTGATTTTCAGCTGTCCACCTATCGTGAAATTAGAGAACCTCACCACCCTCGAGTAACTTTGAACGCATCAACCAATTAGGAAACACTTATTTCTTTTCAGCTTTTAATGCGGAAACGAAAGCAGATTACAGTAGATATAGATTTTGTGGAACTCATCTCAGCTTTTGACTACTTTTTTCTGTCTAGAGTGTAAGTACGTAGGATAACTACATTTTTCTGTGTGACTAAATGAAATGAAATCACCTGAACTGTGATAAAGACGTGAACAGTTTCCTCAGCTGTTCCGTGACGTCTCTAATTTCTTTTTTTAGAACAACCCCTTGAAGAATTCAAGAATTTGACTTTGAGAATGTTTCGGCAGTTGGGTATTGATTAATGACCTGTAGATTTCAGAGTACAAATCTCGAAAAAGAAGTCGTAAAGCAGTAAGCAAACAGCTGTTTGGTATGTCTAGATTGGGGTATGACGTGGGTTCTAGTAATGAGCGGACGAGATAATAGCGCAACGAGATACTTGGTTTAGATACGAGTAATACGACTATTCTCCCCCACACCCTATACTTCACAGCCACAAAAATCAGAAGACAAAAGACGGGACTATGACGGGCTTAAGGAAGACTATTTTATTTGACAAAAGGCATTGTATTTATATACAGCTGCTTGCTGTTCAGAAAATGAAGCCACTAGGTCACCAATTAGATGTAAATAAATCAAGGTCTGAACACGAAAATATTTCTACCCCAACGGTGAATGACCTTGAGTGATTTCTATTTTTGGCTAATTCCTAACACAGTTGAAACTTCATTTCAGCATCACGCACTCCAAACATTCTCGGCATAAACTTATAGGGTTTGCAAAGTGAAAATCCAGAATGTGATGAGGTATTAGGGTTTGCAACTTAATACTAGTACATTATTGCAATCAGAACTCCTTGTCTACAATTTTGAACTTTATGCAAGATGAAGAAACATGAAAATCTCCGGTGGAATTAGCAACTGGTATGAGATAACCATACAACAAGCTCTGGTACACTGATTTCGATGTCCAGCAGGATACTGAGTCGTTTGCCAACCAAACCTCCTGCTCGGGAAAGAAACTATTCTGAGTATCCAAACGTGAACTGCCAATATTCTTTTCGTTTCTCAACTGGTGATGAGATCACTTCAATTAGTTCAGCAGCATACTTCATCAAACAAATTTTTTGATATGACCAATAAAAGATAACGGGAGAAGTCTTGTACTTATTATCCTCATGTCCACTAGGGAATTTGAGTCATCTGATGAACAGCTTTATTTTCTGAACATAGCGCACCATAACTCACAGGAATAAAACAACCAATTGATTAATTGCTTTCAATGAACAAGCGATCATTCCCTAACTGTAGGCTATAAAAAAATTAATCTGAGCTGAGATATACAACAAGACTGTGTTCAAAAATGTCATGTGTAAAGCACCCTTCAAGACAAATAAAATAGTGTGACTGATCATGCCTACTAAATGTCCACGTTTTGCATATACTTCAACGGATATACCAGCCACAATGTGTGCTGCACGAAATACCGTGAAGATGCTTTGGAAACGCAAATTATAGTATCAAGATGAGACAAGGAAGAAAAACGCTACGAGATTAGACATTAAAAACAATTTTGATTCTCTTTCAGTGACCTAAAGGAATTTCAACCTGTTGGTCATGAGATGACATTCTGTGTTTACCATTAATTCTGGACATCTTATAAATTCAATAAAGTTGGCTACACACTCACTCATATTGGCTGAGAATTGTGATTAGAAACCTTGTACATCGATTGTGCATAAAGAAGTGGCCACCACTGAATCTCATTCAACACAGTCATCCATACTCCAGTTAAATCATCGCTTCCCTGCGTTTTATTGTCGTCTTGAGTGACGGTGACCACTGAATAGTGCGAAATTCACTATAACTGTTCTTGGAGGGCAAAGCGGATTCGTTATCTGAATAATGATCCTTTTAATGTACAAAAGTCTTCTGCTAAACCTGAAAATAACAGACCTAGTGTTCGCATTGTCCAATCTTTCCTAGAAGGATAGGGGTGCGTGAATGTACTGCTGTATGTGAAAGGGAAGAACTGATATGAGTGCTGACTTCTGAATTAGGTTGGCTGACACATCCAGATAACCTACATTTTGAAAATTACCTAAGAAAGAAAGTGGATTTGTAAGGATATTCTTATAGCTCAAATGGGTACATGATCTCAGAATCCATACGGTCACTAACGACATCTCAGAACAACTCCCTCCAACAAGGAAAGATTCTATCAGGATGCAGTTGTGGTTAGCAACAAGAAGCACTTTATTGCTAACAAATCAACCCTAACCAGCAGTTCGGCATTGTCCTCAAGTGTCAATTTTGTACACTCTAATGGTAAGTGCTCTTAGTTTTGACATAATACAGTAGACTTCTACAGCACTGAAGAAGCTTATTGAGAAATTTTCTCTATCTGCGTAGCTCATTGTGATAAGTAAGCTTGGATATCAGATCATTTCTGCCGAGCATATTGTAGATGTGTACGCATTGTGTTATTGTACACCTGACGGTTAAAGTTGATCTAGATTGTATGTGCCACTCTGATCTATGCATTGACTAAGGAAATCTATTGTTCAAAATTACTCACTAACCGCTTCTCTAGACTTCTCACCCCCACCCCTGTTCCCGCTCCTAAAGGCTAATTTAAATGATTATTTTCGGTCGAATAAGAAACGTTGTGAATTTCTCTTGAAGAAAGATTCAAAACAGCCAAGCTGTTTTTCAGCAAACAACCAAAACACCTGTGTTACACGCAGATTCCAAATCTCAAGATTTGTCTGAATTACAATACTGCCTCCATTAACAAACAATGATGACTAGTAAATCCCAAACTTCGTATCGTGAGACATCTGTGGGTGTAGAGTGTTGAAAAGCACCTAATAAGAATTGCATCAACAATCTAAACAGCCAAGCTACCTCGAAGGCGAATTAGAGAAAAATGAGGAATGCTCGCGGGCTCTCAAGATGAGGCAAAAGACTTGAAGTAAACGAACGTTTAATGCAAAATGCAGAATCAAAGAAACACCTGAACAATCAAAGCTGCTGATAGGTTAACATTGTAGAGAAACGTGAATCGCGCTACTCATTATTAGTAAGTAGCACAAAGCTATTTGCATAAAAGCGTAAAAGTGTAGAAGGAAATCAGAACGCAGTGAGAAAACAATCAACATATATGTTGTAATGGTGGTATGATTGCATGACATTTTGACTTAGTTTAAAGTTTGTACAGTTTCCTCACACCACTCAGTGTCGTTGTCCTGTTTTCAATGAACTCACTGAACTAATTTATATGAATATCTCATTGAAATGTATCCATGCACATATTATTTTGTAAGCAGCTGACGACAACGGCTGAAATAATAAAATAAGTGGACACATATTATTCCGCTCCAGTGTTTCTTGTCACTCTATTAAAGTTGACGAGTGGGGATTTGTGCGCATGTGTCTGTGAAAGATTCCGTTTCCGCGAACAAACGCTGACCTTCTAGTGAATAACAGATAGACTTGCTTGTTTATTTGTTATCACCATATACACGATCCAAGGTACAGCTGATGAAGTTACCTTGGGAAGAGAATTTTATCATCCTGGTCTCCAACATAAATTAAACTTATGCTTCTTGGTAAGCGATGAGAAATCATCAGGCTGAAAAGTGATCTTTCTTGACAGGACAGTTCAGAAGGGGACCACTGGACTTTATCTAGCATAAATGAATATCCAAAAGACAAACAAGTTCACTAACCACCATAATCTGACTACCATTCTGGTGGTGAATCACCTCACTTCAAATGAAACCATAAAGTGGTAGCACCAATGTTGTTGAGAAACTCTAAACAGAGGTTTTTTTCGAACATCAAAGGTTACTGAAACGTACTACGCTTTGATGTATTGTTTGATTGAAAGCTGGAGAGTGGCAAAATACTTGCCCACTAAGCAAAATGTTGTTTTGGGGAAAGAAATATCAGGATGTTCTGCATCGAAGAAGCTGACACTTCACGCTCAGCTGGTATTGGATTAAGCTGGTACTCGTCTGTCATGCGCATCCTCAGGAATTCATCCTTCATCCTCAGATACACTTGCAAAAATGTCACGCGGGTGACCAGCTATACACTTAATTTTGAGCTCACAAGAGTTTAGTCACTTCAGTATGCTTTCAAATATGTAGACTTGTTAGTAATAAATGATTGGGTTACACACGGTTTATCTTGTTCCCTCTTCGCTTCCTCATGAACTGTTGGGATATACTACGCCCTTTAGTTGATAGACTGGAAACGTTAGTTGTGGCACAGGTCTATCGATTTCGTTCATTTCCACTAGTTCTGAGCGGTTTATACTCAAATATTTTGAATTCTATAATTTTTGCAAGCTCTTGGTAACAAAACCCTGAAAATCATATTGAAAGCTGTCTTTCTAAGATTCCCATACAATCTCTCCTCTTACAATAAG